CAGTTTCCAAAAGCCATGGAGGCTAGCCGCTGGTAAGACAGACAACCTTGTGGGGACAGGAGCCGCGCTGAGCAAGGGCACCACCTCACAGTCTTGGTAAGTTAAACTATGATGTGCTTAAGTACATGCACTGCTTGTAAGTCTTCCGCAGATGTAAGGTGTTTGTAGGAAAACCCAGAAAACTAAACTCCAAGAAATGACGTTTGTATTCACGTTACGTCCTTAGGTTTTTCTACAATGATTTCTTAGGGGTTATAATACTCCTTGCTTTTGAAAACCTCATCATGGATAATTTCAAACATATCCAAAAGTAGAGAAAACAGTGTTATGAAACTATCATCTACTCATTTAGATTCTCACCTAGTCCTCCTCTCCCAGTGTCACAGAATTACATTAAAGCAAATCCTAGATGCCTTATCAGTCCCTCCTCATATCCAGAATGTATCGCTGAAAGACAAGGGATCTTTTGAAGATACAACCATAATGTCCTTTCAAACCTGAAAAACTATCAATTCTTCAATAGCCTCAGTCAGTCACTCAAGAAATGTATCTAGTGTAAGTACAAGGAAGGAAGTAATGTCAAGTAAAATAGCCCAAAAGACACAACACTCCAAACTCCAAACGAAAAAATAGCCCCCCGCATCTATCCCTGCAACAGAAAGCAGACTGTTTTCTTAAAACAGAAAACTGGAGGCTTGACTGGGGCCATCCAAAAATGGTACACCAAAGTTGTTTCATGTTCAAGAGTGTTAGGTTCTTGGTAGACAGGATTCACTGGAATGTCAAGAAGCCGGAGTCTCGAAACGTTTAAAGACTCTGCCGCTGCTTAGGGTCATGTGTGCTAAGTGCCACATCGCCTCACACTGCCAGGATGGATTAGTCAAGTAGGGAAACAAATCCACCTAAAATAACTGAGTGATCAAATGAATTCAACTCAGCATGTACTGAGTACACACCAAGTGCAAGATACCAAGTTACATTTTGAGGAAGAAAAAAAAAAAATCAATGTAACCTATGTCATTTCTACAGTAGAATAAGGAGAGGTTAAAGCAAATAAAAACTGTAATAGAATGTCACTCTGTTTTCATGGACATCACGATCATGAAATGCAATGTAAATTCAGAGGGTGAGTGAAGGGATGGCTGGGGTCCCAGAAAATGAAGAAAAAGAATTAGAGGATGCCTACCACAGTACCAGCAACTTGGGCACATGTCAAGCTCATCCTGGGCACAGGCGTTATTTACTTCTCCTGAGGGACAGGAGTTAAGTGTGTGAACTGGTGACTCCACTCCCTTGCTGCACAGGGTCAGAGAAGCAGCACAAAAGCTAAAGGGAAGGAGTTAGATTCAAGGCCTGTGTGCAAAGGTAAATAGTCCACCACTGTGGGGAGGAGACTGGCCACAACTGTGGAGAGGAGACTGGCCATCACTGTGGGAGGAGACTGGCGGAGAAGGAAGGGAGGTCATTCCAGGAAGAGAAGAGTAGAGACAAAGGGTTGAAAATTACTGGCAGGTTAGGGAAGAGTGTGGTGGCCTCAGGGCTAGTATGTGGGTGTGGCTGGCTGACTGTAAATGCCCACTGGGACAGAAGTTGAAGCCTCACTTTGGAGCCAGTAGGAAGCAAATAACAGGATGGGTGCTCAAAGTTTCTTTGAATGGAGAGTCCCTTTAATCAGCTGGATGGAGAGGTTAGAGAAAAGCAGGCTACTTAGGCATCCACTGCAATAGGCCAGCAGAGGTGGAGAGCAGTGACTGAAGAAAGCAGGGAGATGACACGGAGAATAGTTCATAATTTCAGAAAGGATTAGTTTTAAGAAGGTGCACAAGAAAAAGAAGAGAGTGTCATGGAAATTGAACAGTGTGCATGTTTCCATTTCTATAAAAGACAATGGAAATACAGTGAAAAGGTTTTAGAAACAGATAAACAAGTCCAGGTTCCAATTCTGGCTTTGACACTTTAAAAATTGGGTTGTAGGCAAACTAACTTCCCTTAATTTCCCTTATTTGCATAAATGGGGATACTACTGACTAATTCCTGAGCTGTTATAGCAATGATTAGAATAATCCTATGCAGTGTCTGGCACAATCCCAATAACAGACTACTCAATCTGAGTAGCTACTTTGCTATCAATACAGTTCTTTGATACAAATACATCTTAATATGCTCATTAGCTAATCATATTCCTACATTCAATATTTAATTGTACGAAACTATTGATGTAATCTGATAAACAGTATCCATTACATATCTATTCCTAGAAATATAAACTGAACATATGACTTACTTTCATTTCTACATGGATGTTAGTTTTTCTATTTAAATGTTATCAACTCTAAATTGACAGAAGTCATGTATTCACAGAGGACTAACTACTACCCAGGTGTCCTAAAGCAGCAAAAAAATAGCTAACAAGCTGCAACCCTCGAGGAACCCCAGTGACACAAACAGGTGTGACCTTCAAGTAACCATGGCCCAGATTTTTGGCACAAGAGATGGAAATACTGGCAGTGAAATACCCAATTCTGCCTGTGCATCTGCTGGGAACACATCACAGGTTACTCCACAAGCATTTTCTTAGGTTTGCGGGTTCTGTTTTTGCATGACACATTATAAATCCATTGCAACCGTGGTAGTAACAAAATTCTAAGTGTCACAAAATACCGGTCACTCTCAAAAGCCCTTCTACTCCTTTGAACAGTCACATCATTATTGAAGCATCATCCAACAAAAGTTTCTTTGTCATACATTGAGATGAATCATTTCAAACCATTTTCACGTGCGACGTTCAGGCTCTGATCTGGCACCCTACCCCCACCTCGAAGCTGCACCCTGGGTGGGAGGCAGCTGGAGTTTAGGATTTCCTTTTACTAAACGCAAGAAATAATAAGCATTTTCCGGGGATCTCCGAAGTGTTCATAAAACGCTTCAAGCAAAATGAAGGCAGAAGGCCGAAGGAAAACGCATTTCATACATACACTGGGGAAAGGAAGCGTGTTTCTGGGGATGCTTACCAAAAATCATCAAAGTAGTTGAATCAAATATTTCTCTTTGACATAAGTGAGTCTGAGAGAAACATCATTATCATCATTCCGTGGAGAAAAGACAGTAAACCTGTACACTGTGATTTCTACGGAAGCTCCCACAGATGCGGTCAATGGGTTACGAATGTGCGCCTTGCAGGAATGCCTGACTAGATTTTAGCAAACAAGTCCTACTTGAGCCGCAGGAAGGGCACACACTTGTGTTTAGCTCCCCTCCTTCCATTTACCCACGAAGCTCGGGGCCACCTATTACAGCTGAATGGAGGCTGGATCAAGCGACTAATCTAAGGCTATATATAGCCAGAAGCACCAATTTCATCTCCGCCTTCCTCTCCTCCCGGATTCCATAAATCTCAAGACGTGAGTTACAAAGACGCCGGGAACCAGGCCCTTCGCGCGCCCCTCCCGGACCCAGTGCGAGCGCCAGGGGAAACTGCTTCCGAACATCCACGGAGCCCGGGTCCCCTTTTCTCGCACGA